GTGTTCCACTCTCTAGAATCTGGTAGTATCAGTTGGTTGAGCCATCTTAACCTTGATCTACGAATGTAGCTAGCAGTTTTGAGTCCAGAACTCCTTGGGATCCACTGGTCTCTTACAATTTGTATTTTCCTTCCGTTTCCAACGCGCCAAATCAGTCCTTTTTTTAACAGCTCCAAGCCAAATTCGATCCCACGCCAGGCTAGGGATGCATCTGAGGCAAAGACTATGTCCATAAGTTCTCCGTTGGGATAGTACTTAGACTTAAGTACTCTGGCGCATAGATTGTCCGGGTTTTGTAGTAGTCTCCATGCCTGTCTCGCTAAAAGTGCTTGGTTAAATAGATGCATATCTCTGAAACCTATACCCCCATCTCTTTTTGGTTTTGTCATATTCTCCCACGCCATCCAGTGTACTTTCTGGTGATCATCTTTATCCCCCCACCAGAAATCCCTTATGATTTTCTCATAGCTATCACAGAAGCTTTGATTCAGTTTAAACACCCCCATAACAAAGGTTGGCAGTCCTTGAGCAACCGACTTAACATGAACTTCCTTAGCTGCTTTGGACATAAATCTCTCGTTCCAATCATTGCATCTCTTCCCAAATCTATCCATTATTGGCTGGAAAATCTCATCTTTCATCCTTCCTTCCGGTGTTGGTAGCCCTAGGTATTTGCTCTCAAACGTAGTTGACTCCACACCAAGTCTCATCTTGATCGCCTCCCTCTCATGTTCACTGGACACTTCACTGAATAGTAGGGAACATTTACTCTCGCTCAATAGTTGTCCTGTACATTTTTGGAACAGAACCAACGTCTCTTTGACCCGTATTGCTTGCTCATCGGTAGCCTTGAAGAATAGGAGACTAACATCAGCAAAAAGTAAGTTGGATATACCCGGGCTTCCTTGTGCTACCTTCAGAGGTGATATTCCCCCGCTATCCACCTTCTTTTTTAGAAGTGTGGCAAGTCCGTCTGCCACAAATAGGAAAAGATAAGGGCTTAAGGGATCTCCCTGTCGTAGTCCTCTGGTCGGTAAGAAAGCTTCCAGTAAAGACCCATTGCATCTGACTGAGAAAGAAACCGATCTAACACATGTCATCACCCACTTGATCCACTTATGTTCAAAGCCTAGCTTCCCCATTACCCCTTCCAGGAAGTTCCAATCAACTCTGTCATATGCTTTTGCCAGATCCAGTTTATACGCGTAGTGATTGTCCCTCTGATTTTTACTGTGTTGAATTTTGTGGAAGCATTCGAAGGCAATGAGGGCGTTATCCATGATCATCCTCCCCGGGATGAAAGCACTCTGTGTTTCTGATATGAGATCATCAAGGAAAGGGCGTAGACGGTTTACTAGGATTTTGGAGATCACTTTATAAAGGACATTACACAGGCTGATTGGTCTGTAGTCCTTGATGCTTGACGGATTCTTTCCTTTTGGAATCAGCACAATAACAATATTGTTTACACCTTCGGGCATTACTCCATCTTCAAAAAACAGTTTAACTCCTCTCGCGACATCTTCCTTCAGAATCAGCCAGTTTCGTTGATAGAACCGCGCTGGAAATCCATCCGGCCTGGGGGCTTTGAGTGGGCCGATTTGGAACAGTGCATCTCCTATCTCGTCATCCGTGACTTCCTTTGTGAGGCTTGCATTCATCCGTTCATCCACTCTTTGAGGAATCAAATCCAACAGCTCGGTAGGTTCTACTTGCTCATCTTTTTTGTACAGTTCCTTAAAGAAACTATTTATTTCTTGGTGTATCTCCTCTTCCCTCTCCGCCCAGCTTCCGTCTCCTTTGCGAAGTTTTGTAATCTTATTCTTTTTCCTTCTCCAGGTGGCCCTTCTGTGGAAAAACTCAGTGTTCCTATCTCCTTCCCTCAACCAAGTTATTCGAGAGCGTTGTCTCCACATCATTTCTTCCCTATAGAGCCATTCATCAATCTCACTTTCTGTTCTTTTTATTTTATCTTCGACCTCTGGTGTAAGCTGCAGCGAGTACAACCCCTTCAATCTATCTCGGAGAGCCCTTACTTTACTCTGTACATAATTGAATTCTCTGCTAGCCCGTTGCTCAATACATCCTGCATGTTTCTCAGTTTCTTTGTGATATCAGCTAGTGAACATCCCTTTCCACCCCCTGTCCAGGCTTCATTGATCACCACCGGCAGGTCTCTTGCTCGTTCCCACATACACTCATACCTGAAATTTCTTTTGATTGGTCGCCACTCTTTTCTTGCCCCAAAGCGGAGTAGTAGAGGTACGTGATCAGATCTCGATGTGACTAGATGCTCTATCATAGCCTATTTAAATAAACAGCTCCAATCTGGGCTCGCTGCTCCTCTATCTAGCCGAACCTTCACATTTTTCTGGCCCCGTCGTTTGTTATCGTAGGTCCATACGGTACCTTTGAAACCCATATCATGCAGATTACAGTCTGACAGCAGTGATCTAAACTCAGCCATACCTTTCTCTGATCTCCTAGCTCTGGATAGATGCTCACTTTGCCACATAGCCTCGTTAAAATCTCCTATCATTAGCCACGGTTCAGCTGCATTATTTCGGATTCTTCTCAGAAGTTCCCACATATGGTGCCTCTCATGTGTTTTCGGCTCTCCGTACACAAAAGTACCTCTCCATTAAACCCCATTTTGGACACAGGCGGATCAACACATCGATGTACCTCAGGCCAACGCCAAGTTCTTTTATTTCAACACTCTCATCATAGAAGAGTGCAATGCCGGCACCTTTACCGGAGCCCGGCTGCACAATACAATGCTTGAGGCCAAGCCTCCACCTTAAATTATTCACTCTCACTGCTTTGCCTTGTTTCCGAGATAAAAACTAATTTGGGCCTATGCTTGTGCACTATTTGCACGAGTTCATGAACCGTGCGGGGTTGCCCTAGGCCCCGACAGTTCCAACTTAGGAGTGTCATGGCTCCTAGTGGACGCCCTACTTGGCATCCACCAATTGACCGAGAGCCCCAAGCTCGGTTGCTTCCTTTCCACCTGGCTTACCCTTGTCATCCTTTCCATTGTTCTTGCTGGCCCACTTCTTCTTCTTGTTTTGACTAGTGCCCTTTGTACCATCCCCAGCAACATCAGTTAAGTTTGCTCCTATCGTACGTTCACCTCTTTTTCCCAGCACTGTGACTGTATCCCCCTCTGCCATCTTCAGGTTCCTGTCCTGAACTTGCTCCCGGGTCTTCACTCCTCCCTGCATCGGTTCCACCCTGTTCTCTTTTGTTCCTCCACCCTCCTTCTGCACCATCTCCTTGCCTCCATCTTGCATAAATGTCCTGTTAACTCCATTCGCATCTGTTCCCCCAAGACACACCTGCGCCCCTGGTTCAAAACCCGGGGGGTGCATAGGGCTTTGATTGATTTGTTTCGTGTTCTCAGCTACCTTGGCTTTGACAGCCTTCCCATCTCCGTTTGTTTCCCCAGCGGCCTGGAGTGGAGGCGGTGGACCTTGGGGGAGGCTCATCTATTCTTCTTTGGCCTGACATGTTGCTGGATCATGTATTGGGGTGGTGGGTATAGAGCTCGTCCCGTCTTCATCTGACGTCTTCGTTATAGCAGCAGCTGCTTTAGCACCATTCAGACCAGCATACTGTGATACCAGCCCTTGCTCCGCTTGCCTGTTCCTTTCTGCATCCAACCTGAGTGCGCTGACCGCTGCAATAGCCTCTTGCACCAGCGGATCAGCCAGCATATCATCCGGCACGGAGTTGTACTTCTCGGTTGTTATCCTTGCCTGTGCAGTCTTTGCCGGTCCGGTGTCTTCTGTCCCAAAGTGCAGAAATCGACGGGTGCTACTTGCCTCTGGCACTACAAACCCACCCCTGTGGTTGCTCCTTCTGAACGGGGACGAGCGCATTGCTACCGGGAACCTCATCTCTTGGAGGACCTCCGGCAGCTTCAAGTCGCGCTGCCCATGTCCAAGATGACCACAATAACAACAAAACCTAGGTAGCCTCTCATACTTACACTTTGCCCTTGGCCAGATCATGTGATTCTAGTTCGTTACAGAGGGGTTCATCGACATCATGGTTTATGCGGACCCTCATGTAGTCCCCCCAAATCCTACCTTCCCTATCCGCATCTACCTCCAGAACCTTACCAAGTTCTACTCCAAGCTCCCGAGCAACGTGTTCAAAGATGCGCACCCAGATCGGCATGTGGGCGACCTCGACGTCACCCGGTCGAGCGCTGCCATCCACCTCCACCATGAGGAAGGCATCGCCCTTGATAGGATTCTTACACAAAATTTTCCTCCAAAGTCCTTTGGAAGGAAGGAATTCGTATTTCTGTATTGGATTGATTCATATCCTTCACGAAAATAGAGATTAATATACATGTCATCTCAATTTATATAAATTTCTATTTCATATAATATTTCTATCCTAATCCTGTAAGGAGACGTTAAAGTTTCACCGCTCTTGCACGGATAGTGATCCGTTGTTTGAGTACTGTCCGGGACATGCACGGGTGCTTGTCCTCTCCGGGCGCTGCATGCTTCTCGGAACCATGCAGTGCGAAAGGACAAACGTCGTGTCCCGTGGTGCCGACCCTGGCGGAGCCCGACACGCGCGCCGGGCCATGCACGGAGCAGACGCGACCACGGCCGCCAGCGCGCGCCACTGATCATCAAACACGGTGGTCACGGACCGGCTCCTCCTCTGCCGCGGCGCAGTGCAGCACACACCCAGCAGACCAGCAGCCCTGTCCTCCGTCGCCGTGCATTAACTCGAATCCGGGCACCAACAAAAACCCATCAATTCTAGGAGCAGGTGCACGTGACCGCGCGACACGTCGCCCGTTCTCCAGAGGCTTCCCGATCGACCGGTACAAAGGTGCCCGGACCTGAGCTACATCATCACTCATTCATCGCTCACTCACCCTCATACCCACACTCCCACTCTGCGACCACCTTATCTAGCTCCTTCTGCAAGCTCCTGCATCCATCTCAGCTGCAGCTCGAAGCTCGACCAGGATGAGCAAGCCATCGAGGTGCAGGGCAGTGCAGACGCAGGTCGCCCTGCTCCTCCTCTTGCTCGTCGCTGCCTCCCTGCTCCAGGCCGGCGACGCTGCTTCAGGTACGTACCTATAGCTTACATACGCGCGTCGTGTCGTGTCCTCTTTCCATCAAGCAGCGTGCGGGCCTGATCCATGGCTGTATGCGTTGGGCGCCGGTGCTGCGGTGTGCAGGGTTCTGCGCGGGCAAGTGCGCGGTCCGGTGCGGGCGGTCGCGCGCAAAGCGGGGGGCGTGCATGAAGTACTGCGGGCTGTGTTGCGAGGAGTGCGCCTGCGTGCCGACGGGGAGGAGCGGCAGCCGCGACGAGTGCCCCTGCTACCGCGACATGCTCACCGCCGGGCCCAGGAAGAGGCCCAAGTGCCCGTGATCCTCGTCGGTCGACCGTCTGAACGGACCACCGGCTTCAACCCCCATCCTACCGAGTACCGACAAGAGTAATGGCTGTGTGATATTGGACGCGCGTGCTTATGTAACTTCCCTGTGCTGTGTGCTCGTGCTAAATATTGGTATGATACGTAGACGTACTCTACTAGCTGGGATCCTCGAGTGAGTGAGTTTGCTGCCTGTAAATTAACAAGTGTGTGTGTGGCTACCTGTGTACTCCCATGTGGTTGTAGCACGTACTCGTAGTAGCTAATTGTTCTCCGTGTGTCACTGTATGAGTGTACACTGAAGCAGTGTGGCTAGCTGAGGCCTGCGGGCCATGTATGTATGCCAATGCCACGTAGCATGCGCACCGAGCTTACAAGTAGCAATGGAATGGTCATGTCGCCGTCTTTGTAACTTTGTAAGTGCCATCGTGCATATCTTTACTCCTAATGGAGCAGTTGGTAATCTTTGCCGGTCAATTTTCGTCCCATCAGAGACGGTTAATTTTCGTCCTCGATCCCACCTCCCGCAACCCAGCGATTCCCCCCTTTCGCCCTCGAGACCGACAAAAAAACCGGTATGCTACCACTATGCCGTTGTGAAACACTACGGTTCATCGACCGAAAATCGTCCTAAAAAATCTATGAAGGTTAACCTACGAAAATAAACCTACGCCCCGACCGCCGCCCGCGGGTCGCCCGCTCCCTCGCGCCCCTGTTGCTCCCTCCTTGATCCCGATCTGGATCGAGGGGACGAGGAGCTCCTGTCTCCCCGACGGCCGGCCTCCTCCTCGCCCCGCCGCTGCGTCTGACGCCGCCACGGCCTCTGGAGCCAGGGAAGCCATGGCCTAAGCTCGGCCTCGAGGTCCCCGCCGCCATCTCCTGCAGCTTCTGCCCCGCCGCCTCACCGCCCGAACTCGCCGTCGCACCAACCTCGGCGCCGCGTCGCCGCCGGCTCTGGCCGCCCCAAGACATGGATAAGCTCTCGTGATCCCCACCCCACCCCTCTCATCCCCTGAATCCGTATCCTCTGCTCGTGCTCTCCTGCTCCTCCTGAAACGACGAGGGGTAGTAGCGGTTGTGGCTCAGCAGGATAACATAATTAAGCTTGCCCTTTTTCTTTTGTGTTTGAATCAGATTTGCTTGTTCTCAGTTTTACATGCACGTATCAAACTTTCTTCTGTATGCAGGTTACACACCTGATGATTTTTACAACCTCTTCTGCAGATCTTCAGAACACCGAGCGAAATATTGGCTTGGAACGATCTTCGGTTGGCAGGGCGGCCAGACCAGGTGGCAAATGTGGCGCATGAGTCAACCTCACAATGTACTATGGTGTCTAGGATGGGCGTGGTGTAACATGACGCTTTCTAGAAGCATGTTATCGAACATCTCTACAGAATCCCGAGCTTGCCTAATTCCCAAAGCATGTTGTCATAAGGATGAGTACGGAGGACAACTCTCTCAATTCCCAAAGCACTAATCTTGTCCTAATTGCTCATATGTTGAATCACTTTTGCCTGCAAATATGTTTTCTGTTTGATGAGCTAGGAGATGCTTGGAGGCTAAGGACAAAGAGGATCTGACGTTCACGTTTTTGGGAGGCAATAAGTACTTTGTGCACTTTGGCTGTGGATATGGGTAGCCACAAGTCATCCCCGTATTTTGCCACATACGTGGGTTCGGTCCTCCAAGGCCTGTTAGAGCTCTCTTCAACCTACTCATGGCTGGATCGATCGGTTTCGGGTCAAATAGAAAAGGTCAAAAAAGAACTTGATGTAATAGGCTCACTTCATGCTCCGCGCACCTTTGGTACTTCTGGAGGGCAACATTTATTCTGGAATAATTTTTTTAGGAGGGACAATTTTACATATTTCTGCCAAATCCTTCTATTATTAAGTACGGCTGGTACCATTTCGATGTGTTTCGATTTTACACATTCTTGATGTCTCGATGAATTGGAGAACAGATGTGGTGGTACGTGCTCTATGCAAGGACATGAGAACAATCCTCCAAATTGAACTACATGATGGGAGAGTAGTTAGGAAACTTTGTTCGTGTACGGGTTGCTTTTCCTGTATATAGCGGGCGCTGGAAATTTCAGTTGCAATGATAGCAAGGATCAAGGAAAAGAGAACAAGGGTGGGGCTTAAACTTCAGTACGAGCGCTTGCCGTGGTTCTGCTATGCATGTGGCTACATCGGGCATCAGGTTATGTCTTGTGCGCGTAAGTTCAGGTGGTGAACCTGTATGCTGACGACTACGATGCTTACCACCGAGGAAGTTCGTGCAGCAAGCAGGAAGTAAGACCTGAATTTAACTAGATGACCCACAATATCTAGCAACTCAAACCATTGTGTCACATTAGATGATTAGAGTAATTTTTAATACAGTCATATAGCTATCCATGCTGACATGCTGCATTATTATTTTCATTGGAGGTTAATTAAGTATTATTTTTCAAGCACCTTGGACAAATTCTGGAAAGAGGGGCACGACTCGGAGGTATGAGCCCCAGCAAGGGCCATCACAGCTGCGCTGACAAGCGAGTGTAAGTTGGTGATGGTGCCACCGTGTCAGAGTCGGAGACTACCCTTGGAAGCACAAATTGGACAAAGTGCCTTGTGCCATTGGTGTTTCAACACCAGGGATGTGATTTTGCTCTATAGTTTGCAGTACATTAGACAATTTTGTATGCTATTCAGTAATTAATGCTAAAGTTTATTCCTACAGCTTGTACATGAACAGGTCCCTGTTTACCGATGGCGAAAACTCATCCTTGAACCACCTTACTCCTGCAAATGTTGACCAACAGACAATTTTCTTCATGCCTTATTCATAACATCAAATTTCTCAACCTGATGGCATCTGTCAAGGATCTCTAAAGCCGATGGATTAAACTTGTGTTTTTCTCGTGTGTTCAGTATACATGGTTATCTTCGTAGGCTAATTTCACTTTTGATGAACTGATGATAAAGCGACAATGGAATCAGAACGTGAGCTAAAAATAATCTTGTTATCTATTGTTGTTGCGAATTTTCCAGTATGCGTGTATCTATGTCATAAAAAAGGGAGCAAGTTTATACCATGATTATAATGTCCTACTGATGTGCTTATTGTATCGATGAAACATCTCGAATGTATTTCTTTTTACAAATCTAATTACTTGGATTCTTTTTTTCTTTCGTTTTATATTTAACATAAAAGTTTGCTTTTCTATCTTTTCTGATTCACAAATTATGGTCATGCCAATGGAAATGATGAATACACTTCTATAGTTGGTCGTAAAACCAGTCGAGCATCTGGCCAAACCCATTTGCAATGCAGGCCCAAAAAACTTCATCATTCATTCTGCAAGCCGCCTAAAGAAAAAACAGCACCACTAAAACATACAGTATGACTTAAAGGTAGCAATAAAAACCATCTCTGGTTCATTAATTGGTTCGGATAATCAAATTATTCAATTGAAACATGTGAGAAATTATTATAAAAAGAATCTGGATGCATCATATTGAAAGTGGAATAGGGGCAGCGGCATCGATCCTTCGTAATGACCATCTGCTGGAAGGTGATGCGGTTGGCGAGAATTTGCTTAGCTCTTTCGATGACGTCGCACGAGCATTCGTGAATTCCGAGTAAGCCGCGACTCGATTTGACAGGGTGAGGGATGCGGGAGTGGTTGACAATGAGGTGGCCCTGTCTAAGGGCACCCAGTAGGCTGAGAAAGGAACATTGTTTCTGTAACACAATGATATTTAGACTTTCAGAGCACCCCCTGCACTACGTGAGATTTAGAAGGTATTCAGATTAGTGTTTGCTGATTTCTGTAAATTCCGTTTGTGTGAGTTTTATATTTTTCTAACCTTGTCGATGTACTAATCCACTGTTCATTGATGTGCAGGTGGTACGGCCGGCGGATGCATCCATGTGCTAATCATCTGGCACCAAGCGGACAGAGCCGAACGAGTTGGGGCCACCAGCTGGCTGATAGTGCACACATGGGCAAGCATGAGCAACATGGAGCTAGGGAGTAAGCTGGGAGCGGATGGACGGGGCGTGAGGTAGAACGGGGGTGGGGAGCGAGCGGACCGTGGACAGAAGAAAACAACACCGGATTTGTTAATTACTTTATGCACGATCACAGATTTATCTCTTTATTTATGTGGCTTATCAGGCTTGCCGAACGATCACAGATTTATCTCTTTATTTATGTGGGTGGACAGAAACATCCTTTCTAAAGTTTTCTTGGGGCTCTACTGACGAACAGCTTGTTTAGTGATACCAACCCCTTCGAGCTCCCTCAACCCTTCGACAACACTTATTCAGTTTCTCACCACAAGTGAGTTCTATTTGCACCAACATTCGTGTTAATCATTGTACGTGCTGGTAATCAGAGTTTACATAAATGCTACTAATGCTAGCGCTCGCCCTACATGGACAAAGTGGTGGCCGAATGATATGGTTAAATAATAAACTAACTTGGAAGAAGCAACATAACTTATTATGGACAAAGAGAGATGCACAATTTTTCTAATCTGTTTATTATTGGTCGTTCCATGCATCGTTTAGGGTTAAAAAAAATCCTAGAACATGAGTTTGTCCTTGCATAATTATCCATGCTTGATGGCACTACATCGTATCAGCATACTTAAAGTTTGTCCTTGTATTATCACGTATTCAGGGGCAAAAATCCCCAGAACAAAGAAATGATGAATTGTATTGTAGTCATTCTTGTAGTTAAATATTATGTTTAAAATTGATCATCACTTGGGATGTTGCCAACTGCAGGGTCGATGAGACATTGAATTGCCATATTGCTTTTCCCTCTTATTGACATGTTAAGAATATATCTTTAACAATAGAATTTAATATTTGTGCTTTCAGGTAGTAAGAGACATGATCAAATCGCTAACCAGTGCTGAAGGCATTATGTGGTCGTTGACGTCATGCTAAATGTTGGTGTGGTGCCAAATAAGAAGATACGGAACAAAATCCCTAA